TTAGAGTGTTGCGCCATTTACTATAAGTTTTTGACACTGGTGCCAGTAACTGTTTCATGTTTATTTTTCTAAATAAGCCATGACCTTTAAGTACAATTACTATGTTTACATATATTACTTATAGAAAAACTATCAGCCTCGTGTTATACTTTATTTGCTCTGTGCTTGTTTTTAATATGGGAAAAATTAAATGTGATTTAAGTTTAAGAAGGAAAGCAGGTGGTAACAGGATTTTCAAAAAAAAATACTTTAAAGGAAATCAATTTTCCTCAGCATCAACAATTAACATTAATTTAACTTCTCAATCGGAAATCACTAACTTAACTCAATCAAAAATCTTGACATCAACATCTTCAAAAAAGTTATCACATAGCAGTAAAAATAGTAATGCAAAAATTAATGATTCAAATAAATTGCCTTCATGCTTTATACTTATTGACACAGACATTTTAAAATCAATTGTTACTTTGATTGGACATTGTTCTTAATGCCATAACAATTCAATTAAAATCTCAACTGATTTATCAAAAAAGAAAGGCTTGGCATTGTTTTTAAACATTTCTTGTGCAACACCTTCATGCGATTGGAAACAGTCTTTTTATTCTAGCAAAGAGATTGAAAAGCAAGGTCCAGGAATGTCACTATTTGAAATAAATTGTAGATTTTTTGTTGCAATAAGAGAGATAAGAAAAAGTCATTCTGGTTTGGAAAAATTTTGTGGTTTCATGAACTTACCTCCTCCAATGAACATAAAAGCATTTAATGATGTTCAAGATAAAATTCAAATCATATTAAATTGTAGCTGATGTGAAAACGAAAAATGCAGCAAATGAATTTTGATTTCTTAACAATGATATCCAACCAAATGTTTTTGATATTAATGTAATAGCTGATGTTGTTGTTTCCTGTAATGGAACTTGGCAAAAAAGGGGTCATTCCTCACTTAATGGTGTAGTTACTGTTATTGCTAGTGACTCAGAGAAATGTGTTGACTAATGAGTTATTTCAAAAATATGCAATGCCTGTACATCATGGGAATCAAAAAAAGATAGTGATCCAAAACTTTATGAAAATTTTTTGGAAACCCATGATTGCTTAAATAATCACGAAGGTTCTGTTAAATCTATGGAAGTTTCTGGAATTGTAGATTGTTTTATGAAATCTATAGTCGAAAGGTATATTAAACATATTTGAGTATTTAAATGTTACACCAGGTACATTTGCCTCAGTACTAAACCAAAATAGACCAAGAAAGAATAAAGATGATGGAAAAAAAGTTGCTTAACACAATAAAACAAAAAAGAAAGCTGCTTCGTGCAGAGCGAAAAGGTTTTACAGATATAGTAAATGAAAGTGAAGGTGTATCTTATGAAGCAGGAGTTTTTTAGATGATAGTTTTTTGTTACTTTTTTAATTAAATTTATGTTAAGGCAGTTATTGTATTTTTTAACGTAGTTATTGTTTGTTATCTTTTTATATTCAAGCTTTTTTTCATTGATTGAATAATTCTATTTTGGTTAAATTTTTTTCAATTATTAGAATTTTCACATTTTTCTTTTTTCTGTGTTTTTAGTAATGCTCAAGTCGTTTTGTTTTCAATAATTTTTTGACCTTTTTATATATTAATTTTTTTTTTTTTATATTAAAAATCTTTATTATTGTTTTTCTCAATATATGAGTTTTTTGCATGCTGCGATAAATATCTTGAGATTGGTTTGTTTGATTGTGTTGAAATTTTCAGGAGTTGTTTATTATATATATGCACATTCACCTTACCAAAAGAATTAATGTTAGTTAACTGGTTCTAAAAATAAGGTCTAGGTTCTAAGCCTTTTTGGGGCTTTTTTAAGGCCTTAAACTGGTTTTCTTAAAAAAGCTTCAATAGTTTGTTAAATTGTTTGATTTTGGCAGGGTGAGTGTAATCATCTGATATTAAAAAGCTGTGAAAATTTCATGATCATACCATTATTAGTTTACAGGCTGCTTATCGCAGCGCGTATTCCATATTTAGGGTCCATGGACCCAAAATTTTGACCAAAAAAAAATTTTTTTAATTTTTTTTTTCTTTACTGTGCTTTAAATTCAAAATACTATTTCTTATATGAAAATCATAAAATTTGAATGCATTTTTAAAATTTTGGTTTTATTAGTATAGGACCACCTTAATTTCTACCTATACTTTCTTAATATAAAAAAAAACTTGGGATGCAGTTGTCTTAAAATTTAATTTAAAAATAACTAAAACGACCTTGTTAAAAGGTCTAAAGTTTGACCGACATAAAACTCAGGAACTATATATATTTAGAAGTATTTAGAAGAAAAAAATTGAGCGTGATCGAAGAATATAACTTTGGTTTTTTCGGAAAATGACTCACGATAAGAATTCCCACCCCACCTTGAATTTAACACCTGAAAGTACATTTTGGGGTTTTGCTTTTGTCCACTAACTCAAAAAAATTTTTTTTACTCGATCTCCGAGATCTTTCTATTCTATTTTGTATCTTCAATCATAATATTTCGCAGTTTAAAAATATTGTAATTTTAACGATGACCTTTATTTCAACATTTGTTGAAACTACTAAGGCTATCAACTCTTTTAACGCGGTGAAATATCGCGTTTTTTTGCCCACAATAAAAATGTTTGTAATAAATTTTGTTAGTGTATCAATTGGTTAACTGTGACACCTTTAGTTAGAAATTATAGCATACGAATAGGAAGTAAATAAAAATCTCTTGAATAAAAACCCATTACATACTTAAATACTAAATCATATAAAACATTCATATTCAAAATAAATGCAAAACATCTAAAATGCCCAAAAAATGTGGAAAATTTGCAAAGGAATATCTATTATTTTGCCTAAACTATTAACAGACAAAAAAGCTTGTTTTTAACGCGCAACCTTAATGTTTTATAAAGCATGGTTTGAACAATAGACAACAATAGATAATATAGGAGATAATATAAAAAACACTCCGAAATTATCGCATGTAAAGGAGTAGAATATATTCTTAGTTTCTTTTTTATATTTTAAAATATAGTTTCTAGAAAATCGTAAAGAAAAAAAAGTATAATAAATTGAAAAATAATCTTTTAAAAAATGTATATATACAACGGTGTAATAAATGTTTTAGTACATTACATTGTTATTACACTTAAATCTTTATTAGGATCTTTTATCATATCATAAGAATCTCGCGATTCTATTTATTTGGACAGTAATTTGATGTAGTCGCAATTAACTTAGTCGGATTCTATACTTTCGAAGCTTCCTTCAATTAAGATAAATGACAACAAACATTCTAAGAAAAAAAATTAAAAACATTAGATAGCATTATTATATTATATCATAAATATATAATAGCAAATGGGTTAGGTTTAGAGCCAGACCCGTTTGTACTGGGTCTGGATTTCGTTATTATAGGACTAAAACTCACCAGACCTCGACCATTTGGACTCGTTAACTAAAAGGGTCTAACGAATCTGATAGGTTTTTCGATACTTTAATAACTAAACCTGATCCATTATTAGTCTTTGAGGTTATCAAAAAATAATAAAACGTAATAACGACAAAAGTGGTGCTTAAAATTGAGTTGAAAAAAAGTTTATAACGACTTATAATTGTATATAGTTTTGAGTAATAAAATGTATAATTATTTTTCTAATATAATATTTTTGACAATAAAAAACACAATTGATAAGATGAACGAACTTTTGAAATGCCATCACACTGGATGTTCTCATTAAAAATAAAATATCAAATTCTAATTTAATTACATTAACTTAACGCTATTAAATTGAATTATTTTATTTTGGTTAAAATTATTTTTATTATAATTAACAATACAATTGTGTATTCAAGAAAGAAAGAAGTCTAAGTGACTGAACATAGACAATTATACACTGTTAAGTAACAATGATTTCCTTTAACAATTTAATATTGGAAGATAAATTAATGAATTTAAAGATAAGATAATTTGAGAAATTTTTGATATTTATCTCAACTGCCACTGTGCATTTTTAATACTAAGAGCAACAAAGAAAAAGTATCAAATTTTATAAAAATAAATAAATGCTAACTATTTTATGACTGTCTCTAGTTGTCTTTTTTTACCACAAATAGCTTTAAGTACTCATACGTATTTATCAATCATTATCAATTAATACAATTTTTTAATGGCTTTATTTTATTTACAAAATTAAATAGAATTGACACAGCAAGCTAACCTTTATATACTGACACCTTTATTACACTATTTTTATTACCCACACTATTTTTCAATCTATAGAAATATTTAATAAGTTACTCACCAAAATGCAATGACCAGTTAGAAAATGACAGCAAGCACATAAGTTCATAAGAAATTGCAATAACACAAATGATCAAAAATTTATAGAATCTAAAAATAAAATATTAGAAAATAAACAAATTGTGGAACATGTTTTTTATATACGCATATTTTCCTGCACCTTTTAACAACTTAATCATCTGAAAATGTTATGCTATTTTTTTTACCTGAAGCTACTGTTCTTAACCTGAAGTAATCCAAGACTCTTATCTTTAGTTCAATTTGATTTCCTATTTATCATGCTATCTGAATTCGATATTTTTTCATTTTATAATTTAACAGCATCCTGATTACCAATATTCGATCTATTTATGAAACATCACTCCTGAATTTGTTTGATTTTTCATTATACTAAATTTCCTGCAATCGAATTCATCACATTGTTACAAGTAAAATACTGCATAACCTAAATTAATGCCTAACAAAGCTTATACAAAACTGAATAAAGCTTATTTTTAAACAATATTTTGGAATGAAAAATTTTTGAAAACTTATTTATATTGGAATACGTTGAGAAAAAAAAAGGCTTCCTGAGCAATAAACTTGCCTACACAAAAGTTTATATAAAACCAAAACATTCTATAGATATTTTCAAGAAACAAATCATAATATTATAAATATATCGCATGGGCAAAACAAGAAATTAATAATTAAGGCTGATACTTTATTTATAAAAAAAACCACGAAGATTAAAATATAAAATCAGTCCATGGTAAGATGTCACACACTTAGTTATCTTATGAAACGTTTCAGCTTCTTGAAAATATATCGTTCTCTTGCTAAAATTGACCAATTAGAACTTAAGTCTTCTATGTACAACTTCCTAGTCTGACGATTTAGTCCTTAGACTGCATTTGATTAGAAACTAGAAACCTACAGATAGAAAAATATATGTATAATTATGCTCTCGTATTTAGGAGAGAGTAATTTATTATGGACTGAACATGCTTACATTGATAGAGTCGCATCCAGTCTTTTTTGACGTGCCTTTTTTTAAAAGTTGCATATTTAATAAATTTATCAAAACAATTATAATTAAAAAAAACTAATTTTTCATAATCAGATTTAATTTAGGACGCCTATACCAGACTATTGGTACACTAAAAATCCTTTGGATGCGACCCTGAAAAATTGTCAAGTTCTAAAAAAAGGATCATTAAATAAAAAGAACATTTCAAAGATTTTGTAATAATACCTTAACACCACTTAGTATGGTTGATAACGATTGTTACTTTGATAACCACCACCCCCACCACCACTAGTTTGATTGTAACCTCCTCCATAGCTACTTGGTTGTTGCTGACCATATCCTTGTTGGTAATTTCCATATCCATTATTTTGATATGAATAATCTTGCTGATAGTTTTGTGGCTGTTGATAACCTCCTCCATAGCTGTTGTAATCATTATTAGGAACTCCACTGCCTCCTCTTGCACCACCACGAGGTGCCCCTCTTCCACCTCTAAATCCACCTCGCCCACTATTTACTCTATTGCTATTTCCACCTCTAGCTCCCCCTCTACTATTAAAACCTCCACCTTGGTTACCTTGATAACTGTTATTCTGAAAGCTATTTCCTTGATATTTGCCTCCTTGACCACCACCGCCACCACTACCACCACTACCTGTAATTAGAAAAACATGTTATTAATTACAATTCACTTTATCATTTAATCATTTTTGTTCCTTTACAGATATGCCTAAATTTTAATATGTTCTAAATTGATATATAAAACAAGTCATTTGGAGTTAAGACATTTGTACTATTATTACACTTTATAACTTTAGTGCATTATTTTTTTAATTTTGAAACCCCCCCCCCCAAGGCCGTGAAGGCCACTACAGCTTAGGAGCCTATAGTGGCCTTCTTAAGTTGTGGTTACAACCCTCTTAACTCTATAACGCCGAAACATGAACCTTAACAAAACAAAGCTCAATTATTATGCATCTCTCAATATAAATAAATTATATATTCTTTAAAAATAATGTGCAAAATTGTATGGTACATTGTTTTCAAAAGTTTACTATATATACTTTTTGTTATTTGAATTAGGCTAGAGTTGATTCTGCTAGTACTGCTAATTCTCATGCGACGATATATATTTCAGACTCATTCGGAAGCACGCTCTATTCATTACCATGCATATATAAGGAGCAAATTAACTTAAATTTACCAGATCACAATTTTTTTTTGCGGAAAAACAACAAATTTACTGCAACAAAAATAGCTTGGTTCTTTCATAGGACTCTCACACATATTATGTTTTAAACATTATATGTATAAAACAGATGTTATTCCAGGTAATACAAACACAGCATAAAAATACTTATTGTTATATACTAAAATTTAAAGATAATAGAAATGAGGTAAATTAACTAACTTCAAAAGCTTATACAAACAGAACAAATTATAAGAATTTTTAAATGTTTTAAAACATTTTAAAAATTTAACTAGACTGATGAGAGACAATTACAAAGAAAACCTTTTAAAATGCAATGCATTTTAGTAAATTTACACCGAGCAATGAATGCCTTAGAGATGCATAATAAGTTAACAAGAGTGTAGCAGAGTAAGAAAAAAGTTTAAAAGGACAGATGTCTTTTAAAAACTAAAAAAAAAAAAAAAAAAAAAAAAACTGTGGAAAACTTAACGAAAAAAATAAATTACGCATAGAATTAATAAATTCTAAACTTTGCTCTTTTATAATTTCTTTATAAAATTAACCAACACATTTTTATACAAAGTAATAACTTATATTGATGATTGTTTAATAGGGAAACAAACATTCTTTAATTTACCAAAAACCATATCATAATCATAATAAAAATAATTAAACAAACCTTCTTTGGGCTCAGCTTTTTTTAAAGACATGTTTTTCCCATTTAATTGAAAAGAATTTTCACTTATTACTAAACGATCAGCAAAATCTTCACTAGAACACTCCAAAAAACCAAAACCTTTATTTTTATTTGTATCTTTGTCTTTTAAAAAATCAATTTTATCTATAGTGCCGATTGATGTAGGATGACGACTCTCAATATAGTCTTGAAATTCTTCTGGGGTAAGATCAGGGGCAACTCCTCCTACAAATAGTTTTTTTACTCTTAAACGAGATGCTGGGGATTGCATTTCTTTTGGTATAGCTCGTTTAACATCTAAAGTTTTTCCATCCAACACATGTGGACGACTGGCAAAACAACTTTCTACAGCAGATGATTGATCATATGTTATAAAACCAAAGCCTCTTGACATTTTGGTATCAGGATCTTTTATCACAACTTGGTCAACAGTGTTTCCAAACTGTCCAAAGTATTCAAAAAAAGTCTCATCTGTGGTTTCTCTATTTAGTCCACCAACAAACAATTTTCTCATTGCTTCAGACTCACGTGAGTCTTCCATGGGACCATCATTAGCATACGCATTGTTCTAAATAAAATAAATTACACAAATTTAGTATGATATTTTCTAAAGTAGTAGTGAAGAACACACTAAAACACAATTGCACACATACACAAATGAATTGCTAATACTTTAAAACTTAGCAGGATTATTTGTAAAACACAAAAATAATATTAAAGGGTAAAGCTACAGTTGAGGCCTAAAATAATTTTTTCATTTGTTGCGCTTACAGTTTGGCACAGGATAGCAATCTTTTTTCTTATATTATTTTAACAAATATCCCTTATGTTTGTCAAGTCTTCACTGACAAAAGCGCAACAAATGAAAAAATAAAATTAGTTTACGTTGCTTAACTGTAGGATTACCAAAAAAAGTAAAAGTATCGAAAAAATTGAATTATTTTAGGCCACTTAACTTGGCTACTTAACTTGGAAATTATTTTAGGCCACTTAACTTAGAGGATTATCTATAAAAGTATATATATATATATATATATATATATATGCAAGCATAAATATAATCAATGAATCATTTTAATTGACTTTATAATAAAGTGTATATGCAAAAAAATGTCTATTAACCTTCAGTGTAACACAACAATTGATTACCTTATTGCAAAAAGGACACAAGTCCATTAACTAAATCTTTTAATTGAAATTTTAAATTAAAAATATATGTATGTTTCCTTTCACAACTAAAACTCAATAAAACTAAGTTTTTTATTTATCTACTGCTTGGTGTGTAGTTTTTTTAGCATCATAAACATTCTTTATAAAAACACATTTTTGTTGTTTTTTAAAAGTTTTAATGGATGTCTTTTTTTAAAATGACAGGTTTTATTCTGCTGTCAGTCAAGAAAACCTTATGCAAAACAAGTAACCCTAAAACTAAATCTAAGGGTTAGGTTTTCAATAACATTTATTTTGCATTAGAGTTGCTTTTTCCAGACTTTTTAATGGTGCCTGAAGTACATGTTCACACAAAATAGATTATAATATATTTTCCAAAAATTGTTTAACATTAGGTTAATGTCTGAATGTTTTTATTTTCTATTACTCTAGAAACTCTTTTATTTACTTAACGAGATTAGACTTTACTAGTAGAAGACTAAAAAGTAATATACATCAGAAAAGAACCTAACTAAGAGGAGAGACTTAAGTAATAATAAAAGGCAAAAAAATTGCGATCATCCTAAATTTTTGTAAAATATTATAAAAGCAACAAGCAGATAAATACGTAACTAAAGAAAAATTATTTTGTTTAATATGAAAGTAGAGAATTCTATGAATGGACTGATATAGTTAAATTCCATACTTAAGTGTTTGTTTTAGAGGTATATTAAGGTTGATACGTGAAACCGATAATATGTAAGATGTTTCAGAAGAAATTTAAAAGATTGACAAAAATTAAGTTTCGAATTAAATTTAAAAAAAAACATTAAAGTAAAAAAAAGTACATTACAAACCATGGCTTCGAAACTTATAGGACTAACGTCGTCTCAGTGCGGGGTTCTACCAAGAGGATTTAACTGAAACATTTGGTCTTGGTATTCAGCGGAGATAATGCACGGCTTTACGTGGAATTAATTGTTATGATGTCATTATATAAAACAAATGCTGGTGAAACAAACCATTACATCAATCTTCTTGTTTAAAAAATCCAACGGTTCAACACGTTCGCATAACCCGTAAATAATTGTGTAACACTTATGCTTTTAAAAGTGAGGCTTACAAAATTCAAACTTATTTATACAAAGCTGGTACTTAAACGTGCACGTTTAAGTATCAGTTTATAAAAGTTAAGCTTGCATTACCAGATTATAAAAAGTACTAGCTTACAAAAGTTATACCTTTTACTTATTTGCCATTGAATGACAAAAAATATAGTTGAAACTTGTATGACTATTACAAACTTTATACTTTGTGTTTAAGGAGCATGTTAAACAATTAAATAAACTTTAAAAACAAGATCATACATGCTACCTTAATATTAAAAAATTAAATTTTAAATCATAAATAAGATAAAGATCTTACAATAAATTTGAAATAAGCTTAATATTCACCATGTAAAACTACTTATGCTTAATGTAAAGCGTGGTTATCTTCAGTAACATTTCAATCTAAGTTAAAATGAGATTTCTCATAATCATTCATCTAATTTTTAGTGCAATATTTATGAGAAAATTTAGTTTGAAGAATAACTCCACATTCAATATCGTGGCCCTTTTTTTTTTTTAAAAAAAAAACTTTCTTCATACTTTTAATGAAAAACAGGACTTTGTCCTGTTTTTCATCAAAACACTGCACTTTGGAAATTTTTAGGCTAATTTACACTGCCCTTTTGAAAGTTTTAAGGCAAATTCTAAAGAATATTTACTAAATATAGAACTTAATACATTTGATTTAAAACATATTTTTTAAAAATGATTTAAAAGGTTTGAATTTATTAAACATTGAAAGTCGTTATCACTTTTCTTTTATTATTACAATCTTTCCCAGCAAAATCACTATGCTAGAGAGTTGGCTAGATTGTTACTTTTTTTTTTTCTTTTTTCCTTTGGTTTTGTCAATATTTAAACTATATTCCTCAAAAATTGCCTCTGGGTAGATTGATATGGTTATTTCTCTTTTGTCTTATTTTATTTCTTAAATTAGGGCCGACGACACCAGGGGGGGGGGGCAGGGGGCAAGTGCAAAAAAAAGTCAACAAAATAAACTTTACTAACAATATTTCAATTGAATATTTACAGGGCCGACGATACGGGTTTTAAAGTGGAGAGGGGGGGGGGGGGGGAAAGGCACAATCATCAATTTGTGAAAAAAGTCTATATCTTAAAAAAATTTCTTTAAAAATTCTTTTTTTTAAAAAAAAAAAAAGGTCCTCTAGAAAAAAAGTGGGGGAAAAAAAATTGACTGAACACTAGTTTTAGCAACCCCAACTTTTTTTCTAGAGGTCTTTTTTTTTTTTTAAAAAAAAAAACTATTTTCATACTTTTAATGAAAAACAGGACTTTGTCCTGTTTTTCATCAAAACACTGCACTTTGAAAATTTTTAAGGCTAATTTACACTGCCCTTTTAAAAGTTTTAAGGCAAATTCTAAAGAATATTTACTAAATATAAAACTTAATACATTTGATTTAAAACATATTTTTTTAAAATAATTTAAAAGGTTTGAATTTATTAAACATTGAAAGTCGTTATCACTTTTCTTTTATTATTACAACCTTTCCCAGCAAACTCTCTATGCTAGAGAGTTTGCTAGATTGTTACTTTTTTTTTTCTTTTTTCCTTTTGGTTTTGTCAATATTTAAACTATATTCTTCAAAAATTGCCTCTGGGTAAATTGATATGGTTATCTCTCTTTTGTCTTATTTTATTTCTTAAATCAGGGCCGACGACACGCTCTAACAGACCGTATTTCAGTAAATCATGCTGCAATGACATTCAGTTTTATGATTGATTTCAATAAACTGAAGAACCGGCAGTTGCTGGAGTTGGACGTTTTTGAATGTAGTTACGGACCACATTTAAAATTTTAGCAATCTGGACCCCTTTCCAAACGTAATTGTAAATGTAAATGGAAAAAAAAAGGAAAAAAAAAAAACTTTTACCGGTTACAATTTTTATATTTTATTGACGCTAATGCTTTATTACAAATATAATCGGCAGGACTTCCAGAAGATCATACAATCTTATCATGAAACCCTTTACAATATTAAATATAATTATAATAAAAAAATCAAAGTAAACCAATAAAATTAACATAAACCATATACAACTGTCATATAAAATATAAACAAACGGGATAAAATATATAAAACAAAAGAATTAAAAACAAGAAAAAATATTTTCAAGATTACTTTTTTTAATTTCCGTTTGAAAGAAGTAAAAGTTTGTTTCAAAGGCAAAAGCAAATCAAAATTAGGCAAAACTATTTTATTTCTTAAAAAAGGACCGCGGTAAGAAATATATAACTGTTCCAATTTAGCATGGCAGAAATTTTTTTGGAGATTTTTCTATTAACAAGATTGTATTTGTTTATGGGTTTTACGTTATAGAGGTTAATTTACATTAGGAGATAAAAAATTTTATATTTAAAGATAAAACATAAAATGTTATAAACATTTAGTTCGTATACATTTAAAGCTTTGATTTCTCTTTGAAGCTGTTTTGAATTTGAAAAACGATTTACAAAATTAATTAAGCGAGCTGCATAGTTCTGATGCTGATAAAGAGATTTAAGTTTACTTTTGCGTGCGCTTCCCTTTACATTAATTGCATCATATTAATGGCAGTGGATAAACAAATAATATAGCTATTTTAATTGTTGTTTATTTAATATAAGTCTAGCTTTATACATAATTCCACTACTTTTAGCAACCTTCATGGAGATGTTAGCGATTTTATTATGTAATGTTTAAAACCTTCACTTATAAAGGTACATACTAGCAAACGAAATTAATATGGACATTGCTTATTTAACAAGGAGAACTACCCTCTCATTTTGGTTTTGGTGTAGTTTAGGACAAGCTTGTCATAACCTACACCAATACAAATGCATAAAATTCAACTCGCGATACTGCTCTTGATCCCTTGTCAATTAAATAATCTTTAATAAGATCTTCATGAATGATGTACTTTGCAGTCAGTCCCCATTTTGTGACAAAATATCTAAGCAGCCGGTGGTTCAAAACTTGATGTTGCCAAGCAATCTAAGCAGCCGGTGGTTCAAAACTTGATGTTGCCAAGCAATCTAAGCAGCCGGTGGTTCAAAACTTGATGTTGCCAAGCAATCTAAGCAGCCAGTGGTTCAAAACTCTCTTATGAAGTTGCCAAGCTTATTTTTCCAACCAATGTTTTTCAAGAAAACTTTTTATCATTCTAAAAACATCTTTATTTTTATAGTTCCCAAAAGTAAGTTGCAAAACAAAAACTCTTCTTTCATACTTTGTGTTTTGAGATTTACCCAACAAACAAACACCAAGATCTGGCTACATAGTAATCTCATCCTGTGAGATTACACCTGTGTTCTTGTATGCTGAATGAAATTTGCAAAGAATTTAGTTCCTGCTAAACTCTTTGCAAATTTCATTCAGCATATTGAGTTCCATTAATTACCTGCTGCAAAACGTTGGAAGGCATTTTAACAATTCTAGAATGGATGAAATTATTTAATGAAGGCATCGCTTCAACTTTTTAAATATCAACCACACACTAGTTCTATTATGTATAGTAAACAAGATTTTTGAAGAATTTTTGAAATATTTGCGCACTTGCCTCAGAAACGTAAGATCCGCGGTTCAAACCCACCTCTGGGCATGTTTTGCGACATCGGTTAGGAAGGAGGCGTGAACTTCCCATTAAATGCTCTTCCGCGGTGCTCTGTGAATAAGACCGTAAGGACTTCTTGGGGCACCTAAATCAACATAAAAAAAAAAAAAAAAAAAAAATATGCAAAATGCAACTTCGTATAATGCTTTTAAACATGGTTTTTGTGTTGGACTAAAACTTTGTTTGGGTAATGTGCCATTTTTTGCAAATCGAGCTTCTTGATACAAAAATTAATAACATTATTGAATGCATTTCCTGAGTGAACAGATTTAAGATGTTTTGACAATTTTGCTGGTTCTATGCATTTTTTCTGGTTTTATTCATTAGCAAGCGATATCACATAAAAAGCACTGTGGGTTTTCTGTTTCATCTCGTTAAGTAACAAAAGTGAAACCGTAGGTGACATATAAAACGTTATGTGTTCTTTTTTTTTGTTGACAATTTTAACAAGCTGTAACAAAGAATAAAATTATTTTTTACAAAAATAGATTTCAATTAATGAAAAAGTAAACACTGCTTTTGTTTAATATCGGACTGTACATATCAGTATATAATATATGATGAAGGAAAAACTAATTATGAGACAATTAAATGTGGTGTTCCTCAAGGATTAATTTTAGAACCACTTCTATTTCTCGTTTATATAAACGATTTAAATAAATTTTTTAACATTTTACATACAATTTTGTTTGCAGATGATACCAGCTTGTTTTATTCCAATAAAGATATCTATACATTATTTCAAACAGTACACAAAGAACTAGATAAACTAACCCAATGGTTTAAATCAAACAAGTTATCGTTAAATATTACTAAAACAAAATACACTTTATTCCATCGTCAACATTAGGGTGCATCAAAGAAAAATTTTTTGAATTCGAAATTGTAATAGAGCGACAAAAAGTTGCATAAGGGTATAAAAAGTAATTGTTGCAAATTTTTTTATATAATTTTTTTATGTCTTCAATTCGCGCTAGGGTTTAAAACATAAAATGTTATTTTTCATACAAAAACACGTCTTGCACGAATGATTACTCTTTTACAATTTCAATTCCAAAAATGTTTTTTTTCAATACACCCTAGTCTACATAAAAAATCAGATATTCCCTTAGAACTTCCGGACCTTTTAATTGATAATCAATTAGTAAAGAGAGAGTAATCAATAAAGTTTTTAGGCGTGTTTCTGGACGAAAATGAAATCTGGAGGGAAAATATTGGTGTAGTTGAATATAAAATATAGGTATAATGTACAAAGCTAACCAGTTATTAAATCGATCTTTTTTAAAAA